ATTTATTGGAAATCCATTCTCGTGTATGACTTATTTAACTCAGTTATTCACCAACGCGGATTAAGTCATGTATTACATACGAGGATAGACAGGATGTATCTTTTGACAACAATCATTCATACGATCTAATTGGAGTCAGACTTAGACTCAACAATACATTTGAAGTCCAAGATCTTAGGGAAAACAGAATGAATGTATCTACGCCATTATGAACTTTTCTAAACCATGTCACACAAGGTATCTTACAATTATTTACAATAATTGCTATGACTTAACCGTCTAATCTGCACCTACCAGCATAGTTTAGTCCAATAGTCAATGACTAGATAGGTTGATGTCACAACCTGGCTTAACTGTCCCTAGTTTTCTTCCAACCGAATCATAGAACGGGCGAATTTTCACGTCGAGGTATTAGGTGGTCGGACATACACAGCACATGTCCCAACCACTTCAGTTGGTAAAATATCATTACCTCATCAAACGTCTTGCGATCTTCATCTATTATCCTGCTTATAATCTCATTATTACTCATTTGATGCTCCGCACATATATGAAATTACTTGTTGGAAGCCGAGTACCATTACCACAAAGCTTGCAACTCTACGTTATTAGTGTAATGTAACTGGTCTGATATCAGGTTATACTTCAAATGATGCCAGATTGGTAGGATTGCACTATATAGGAGACTGATTTTACATGTGAATGAAACATTGTGTTGTATACAACTATCTAAGTAGATAGTTAGTGAGGTACTTATTATAACATATCTCTTGCGTTTATCATTCGAAAAATTACTATTTATTTATTTAAACACATAAATATTGGTACAAAGGGGCACCAGATGTATATGCGCCACACAAATCTCATTTGATTCGCGTGTGGGCTATAATACTGACCAGGTGCCCAAACTGAAGCAGATGGTTTTCTTAGGGGCCACACCTGGAGCCTTTGACCTAAAGGTCTGATCCACAAGTCAGTGGAGCATCGTAAGGAGATTCAGTCCCATGGTATCTTGTGACCAACGATTGATTCATACTCCATTTGTTCCTTCAGGGTACTGGATCCGATGTGCACCATTGGTTTGGAATCAGGGTTTTCCAACCCCCCCTATGTGAACTTTCCGTGTCCACCAACCCGTTGGTAACACTGCTATTCAACTTGTTGAAGTGTGAACAAACCAATCAATAAAGCACCAAATTATGCAGTCTGAAACAAAAATTAGTTGTTAACTAGTAATAATTAATTTCATCATTCAATGCACATTAAAGGTATTAGGTATGATGTATTGTATTGGTGAATTCACCGTTACTACATAGTAACAATGAAATAAATAAGCAAAACATAATACGTTAGTTTTATTTATTATTCGATGGGAAATAGACTTAAATCTAATCTGCCTTGTTCATCTTCGCTATTTTCTAAAATATCCTTCCTGTTTTTATTGATTTTGTTCCCTTATTCATGTAGCTCACTCTCCACCATTAATTTGTATCCTCTAAAGATATGTATATATATAATCATACGTGTGTATAAACATGGTCAGATAGGTTTTGCTCAAACGCATTTCACCATGGCTACAAAACATGTAGTCAATTTTGTTATTTGTTTGTATGTGGTTATCACGTTTTTTTTCGGCAATGTATTACAGAAAGCTAAAATATGAAAAAAATAACCTACGTTACTAAATAATCACTCTCCTCATTTTTGCCTGTCCGTATGCCTTCTAATATTGTATGTTTCTAATGTAGACATTCGGTGATCATTTAATTAGTCTCATTAAAAAAATTATGAAAAAAAAGTGTTTAAGGTTTGAGGATATATTAGATGAATGAGGTTTGTAAACTTTTTTTTTGGATTAAATGGAACACATCAACTGTTACTTCGTATTATCGTGTAGCCCCCAAATGCCCTGGTACGGCCGAGAGTACGGAGGGCACGCCCTCTCTCTCGAAATGCTCTCACATGGCCACGCGTATATAGCCTCTGCCAGGGAAGTCCTACTCATCGCTTTCTCACGGCGGGGGTGTTTACGAAATTGAGTGGACGAAAAGCGAATTTCTGGCGCTTTAACCAGGTTGGTGGACACGGAAAGTTCACCTAGAGGAGTTGGAAAACTCTGATTCCAAACCAATGGTGCACATGGGCTCCAGTATCCTCAGGGAACAAATAGCGTATGAATCAATCGTTGGTCATCGGCTACCATATTACTGCATCTCCTTACGATGCTCCACTGCGTTACGGATCAACCCTTTAGTTCAAATGCTTGGGGTATGGCGCCTTAAGAAAACCACCTGCTTCAGTTTTGGCACCTGGTCAGTATCACAGCCCTGACACAAATCAAATGAGATTTGTGTGACGCATATATATCTGGTGCCCCTTTGTGTCAATATTTATATGCTCAAATAAAAATAAATAAATAAATTATCATGTGACTGATTTATTATTCTTGGGGATCTCGGATTAACAACATGGCTCATTAACGGTTAGTATTTCCATAAACTGATGTTATCTGTTTGCTTGATTGTCCGTAATTTTCTTACAGTTTATTCCTACTCTATCTAAGATTTTTTGTCAAGTTGCGTATCGGCTGAGCATAGGTAAAATTCATGACTACCCTAGTCAATGAACATACTCAGTTTCACCAACTGGTACATCATTGATCAATCGACGATTTGAACATACTTGAGCAATGCTTCGAAGACATCTATGGTCTACTTTCGTAAATCATGCTTAACAGCTCCAAGATATAACAGATCAGACTGCTGTACAATATAATAGTCCTTTGGTTTTTAGGCAAACATCTCATCTACACTACAAATCAATAACTGAATCGATTGATATAAGACCAATCCCTGAAAATTTACTTAAACTAAGTATTGTCTCTAAATGAATATTTATTACAAAGTTTAATGAAAATGGAAGAATTCACTTAGTATTGTTTGTTTAAAGCAATACACACAGTATGCGCATATGCCAATTAGAGACTGACCAGCTGCAGTCCCAAAAACATCAATGGGAAGATTCAACCAAACAATACCAAGTGAATTTAAACTTCATCCTATTGCACAAGCAAGTGGCTATCAGGACTCAGTGGCCGAGTGGATAACGCGATGGCGTTTGAAGCAAAAGGTACTGGGTTCGAGACGAAACACGCGTCCTGGATTCCACTGCTAGTCACTATCCATCTTTGAAAATGGAAGAAGTTAGCTGCCCTTATCTGAAACCTAGTTCATTTGAGTATCTAGACATTGATATTTTCTGTCTAATAAAGTTTATTCTATTGACAATATCACAGTTTACAATAAGTTAAAAAAGAAATTAATCGAGTTTTAAGCATTCTAGATAGATCATGAACTTTGCATAATACCACTTTATGATCTTTACTAGAAACTATGATAAAGTTTCCAAACTCCCATCATCCTATCCCGATAGTTACCTTTTCTTCGATATTCATTCTGTCACAACAAGAAATTGATTTCAGTTTGCTTTTTTCTTAACATTTTTCTGACAAGTTTATTTATGACTGTTGAACTATAACTGATGATATAGTGGAATTAAATCTTTGGAATTTCATAACCACTTTTCTTTTTATCGGTTGCTTATAAAAAGCAAAACAACACAAAACCAACAAGACAAAGCTGTTCATTTCTTTCTGAATTGTTCAGTTAGATAATTCCCTTGAGAATTTGAATGTAACCAACTTGGTCTCGTTTGCAGTTACGGGTATGGGGCTAATATCGCTTCCCGGCATCCCATACCGTAGAAGGGTGTTTCCCGAGGGAGCTGAAAAGGAAGTTGGATTAGTGTTGGTCTTAACGACCTGGGAGCGTGACCGCAGTGCCCAAGGGACAACTGCTTGAAGCCGGTCACGCACGACCTTTTTGTGGGGGATTTTTGGCGTGTTAGTCCCGTTCTTCAAAGGACCTTACCGCTGAAGACGGAAATCCATGGGATAAGGCGAGGTGGGCATTTTCAGGGTCGACATTTTATAACCCCCAGACCTTCAAGCAGAATGTTTGTTCTTAATTATGATTCAATTCACTGCTTATCTAAGTCATATGATGGAATATGAAATTCCCGGTTGTCTTACACACTGACCGTCGTCAACAATTAGTTGGAGATGTTTGTTGAAGTTTTTCTGGGGGGAATTAAGCCTTTCACTTTCATTAATATTGCTATTTCCCCATCTCTAGTCTCATTAGTTCTGTAATTGTTATTTGTGAGACCCGTTTCCTAACAACTGCATTGCTTTTCTGGGACCACCGGGTAATTAATGCAGTTGTTAGGAAACGGGTACTAGATAATGATGGCTAATCGATTGATGAAGTAGTGAAAATTCATCAGTTGAGATGTCTGGGACACATGTTACGTATACCCAACCACCGACTGCCCCGACGTGCAATGTTTCATGGTGTAGGAGTCGGTTGGAAGAAAGCTAGGGGCGGCCAGACCAAAACGTGGCACAAATCCATGAAGTCACTGACAATTGGACTGAGCCATGCTGGTAGGTGTAGACTACCTGGTTGGGATTCGCGAGATGATAGCAATCGATGTTTAGAGACCTTGAATGACATGGCTCAAAATCGTTTGCAATGGCGAATGTGCATCCACTCTTTGTGTTCTGCCAAATTCTAATCTTCTGAATTCCTCATGTCTTTATGTTTTTCTCTTTCCAAATTTATTTCACTGGATTATACTCCTTGAATAACATCTTCAAACCCTAATCTTTCGGATTACTTTTTATACTCTTACTATTTCTACCACTATGAGATTTGAATCGAAAACTGCATCATTGTGTTAATGTGGTATGTCAACTCGAACTGATGTACGTACGTACGTACGTACGAAGTTCTACGTTGTGACTGACTGATTGACTGGTGAATCGTATTGATACAAATTTTTATCGCAACGCCTAAATGCATGTCTCTCAGTCCAACATTTCATTAAATTCATTGTAACATTGAGATGCGTATTTATTTCTAATATTTAATCGTTTACAGAAGATCGTAAACTATTCGTTGGTATGTTGGGAAAACATCAAACAGAAAAAGATATTCAAAATTTATTTGCACCTTATGGACTCATTGAAGAATGTACAATTTTACGTGATCAAAATGGATTGAGTAAAGGTAATGTTTTGTTCAAATTGTTGAATTATATAACAATCTTATGCTTTGATAAGTTTAAACAAAACAAGAACAACAAGGTTTACAAGATAAAGTGAATTCGTTCTTATTCATGGATTCTCATCAGTTGCAAATAGCTTGTAGTTACACGGGATAAAATAATTATAAAGAAATGTTCATTATTTACTTAGTATCGTTTGCTTGGATCTTTCCATTGATGTTTTTAGGACTGCAACTGATCAGTCTCTAATTGGCATATGCGCGTACTCTGAGTATTGCCTCGATATAGCCTAAATTCACAAGCATGGTAAGCAAAGGTCAGGACTTAGTGGCCGAGTGGATAACGAGTTGGCGTTTGAAGTGAAAGGTACTGGGTTCGAGTCCTAGAGTGAATATCAACTCTGAGATACAGGCACATCCAGCTGACGAGTCCCAAATAGGATGAAACGCGCGTCTTGGATTCCACTGCTAGCCACTATCCATCTCTGCTTACCTTGCTTGGAAATGTTCATTATGCTTAAGTTAGTCAAGTTGAGATGAATGTTCGAAATGCAACTGAGAATTATACTAATCGAAGTAGACCACACAATGTAATTCAACATGGTTAAGGTCGATGAGTACTTATGTTCTAAAATTAGTAACACAGAGCAGAGGATGTGAGCTTATTAAAATGGGAGGGGGGAGTGTAAACGTAATAAAATCAATAAAGGGTTACATAACTGACCGAGATTATTAGAACTAACATCAAACTAATCTATTAGTGTAAAAAAGATTATGCAACATGCAAGTATCATTTGATTACAATCACAATCTCAATGGTGAAGTAAGACTTATCACGTTTTTTCTTCCCTGTGTACGTCGATCAAGTTGGAAATGTCATAAGGATTGTGTTTGGTAAATGTAGTGGAATTAAGGTTAGTTGTTGGTGAATTACTTTGATTGCTTTTACAAATATCCACATCAATGTCTACTATGTAGCGGACATTTGGCGATTGTACTTGTGAAGAACTTGCTGCGTTTCAGGCATAAATTCCTAGGATTATGTTTATAATTTTTTAAATGATCTTAAACGTGTTAGATCACGTCTAGTAGTAAGTGATTGGTAGTTATGGTAATAATGCTGTTGATGAATTAACCAGTTCACTAAAGTGAAACTACATCTACTATGTTTATTTATTTATTTATTTAAACACATAAATATTGGTACAAGGAAGCACCAGATAAATATGCGCCTCACAAATCTCATTCGATTTGTGTGAGGGCTGAGATACTGCCCAGGTGCCCAGACTGAAGCAGGACATCTACTATGTAGTCCGCCACAGATTGCATATCTGTGCAGGATATTCTTTCCATCTCTTATAGTGTTCAAATGGATGGTTTTTATTTCAGTTTTATCTCAGTAACCAAGTACAGTATTCGTTTTTAGCCATTTTTTCGAGTACTCAAACTAAATTAGCCGGAACAAATATGAAAAAAAGAGATTGATACATACTCTTTGGGTATCGAAATATTATTGTTATCGTCATCCACTATGGTCAGGATTGTTTTCTTCACTTACCTACGCAACTCAGAAAAAAAGTAACTTCGTTATTGTATTCGTCATATGGTCGATAACCCACGTGAATTCCCACGTTCTTAAACGTCTAATCAAAACACCAGAATACTCATGACTACTTTTACTATTCATAACTCATGTCACCGCACGTATAATAATAGAATTTTCAATCCAAGTTTAACTAACCGATTTGTAGTTTATTGGCGGTCAAAGATGTAACAATAACTAATATTTATTTATTCATTTAAACACATAAGCATTGATACAAAAAGGCATCAGATTATGTATGCACCATATAAATCATTCGATTTGTAAGATAACTGAAATACTGTTCAGGTGTCTAATCCGAAGCAATTAGTTTCCTTAGGTGGCCACTCCACAAGCCTTTGCAATGGAGGACTAATCCACAAGGCAGTGGAGCAACGTTGGGTCGTGCAGTCCCATGGTAGTCGTTGATCAAGAAGGGGTTCATACACCATTTGTTCCCTCATAATGCTGGAGCCGATGTGCACCATTGGTTTGGAGTCAGGGTTTTCCATCTCCTCTAGATGAGTCCTCCATACCCACGAACCAAGATAAAGCATTGTACATTGACTTTTCGTCTCCAATTTGATAAACAACATACGTGCCTCGAGAAGGCAAGGATTAGGACTTCCGACAGTAGGTGTATACGCGTGGTGACGTGAGAGCATTTCTAGTGTGTGTGTGAGAGAGAGTGAACTCTCTCCACCTTCAGCTGCACCAGGGCATTTGGGGGGCATATAATGCAACAATAACTAATATGTGACAAGTTAGCTTACCGATCAAAAGTATATGAAAAGTTTGATAACCAGTCGACTAAGGAGAAAAAAAGGACTACTTACCAAAATTTCATATTTCCCTGCTTTTTTTCTCACTTCATCTTTACAGAGGAAAAACAATCATAGCTAGTCAAATATACCGGATAAACTAATGAATATTTCATTGTTGTTATCACACATTTTATGTGTTTTGTTTACAAGAAGAAGAAGCTGAAAAAAATTGACCATCATTCAATTTCACCTAGATTATCAGACTAAATCTCTATAGGAATACCCCCTGTATTGTTTTTCGAACAGCTAGCTAACTGTTCGATGGTATCACTTTTCAATTGTTTCGTCATTTGGTTTGTTTGATTTTTTTATTTGTGTTACTATTGTGTTTTTTTGGTTGTACAGGTTGTGCTTTTGTGAAATTCTCCTCGAGTACAGAAGCGGCTAACGCTATCGATCATATGCATAATAGTCAGACAATGCAAGTAAGTTTTGTATCCATGGTCTTTGTTTTATTGGTTTTTTTCCACTCCATTCCGTAATTAATCAGTCGGAGTGATATATTCTTATGCGTGATCATTAATATGACATTAGGTGATTGAAATCGGATGCTCCGTTTTAGTGCGTTGTATAATTGTGGATCAGACCTTTCGGTCAAAGGCTCGGGGTGTGGTCCCCTAAGAAAACCACCTGCTTCAGTTTGGGCACCTGGGCAGTATCACAGCCCTCAAGCAAATCGGATGAGATTTGTATGGCTCATATGTATCTGGTGCTTCCTTGTACCAATATTTATGTGTTTAAATAAATAAAAAAATAATTGTGAATCCATTTAGTGTTTAAATCTCTTTGAAACGCAATGGTGAATATAGTATTATGATAGAATCAATGGAGTGGTGTTGTAGAGATAGTTGCTAATTACTATGTTGGGTTTATCGTTCAATTGACTATGTTTTCAGAAAATCATTCCGTTAATTTCAATGTAACCAATTGAATCTCGTTATGATTAGATCTCTTATGCACGCACACAAGAAATAATGATCAGAGTTGAGTATTGAAGTCCCTACTTCGTAGAGGAGTTACAGAATAAGTAACTGGGAACGATGTTTTTTATGAAATGTCAGTCAACCAATTATTCACTCTTGATTATAAGTGAAACTCCGCCTGTAGTTCTTCTAGAGTTACTGCCTGTCCCAAACCCGAGTAAAGGAGGAGGGTTAAGCATGGGGTTAGCGACCCCATCCCGTGGAAAACTAACTCGCTAAAAACTCTAACCGGAAGAAATAATTTAAACCATTTAAATTCTGTCCTGGGGGTTGAAAGAAGAATTATGACGCCTCATAATGAAAGCTGACATCATTCAGCTTTCACGCAACCTAACGATTCGGACATCGCAGATCACCTAGCCCTCCTACCCCATACACACGAACAAATACACATGAAGATAACTAGTGTAGCAGCAGCCTCTACATCAGTACACCACAACATAAACAAACGAAAAAGCAACATCCTTAATACAACACGGAGAACACCAATCAAACCAATCACACTTGGTGGAGAAACTCTGGAACAGGTGAAAACTTTCACGTACATGACATGGTCAGCATCATCAATGAACAAAGAGAATCGGGTGAAGATGTGAAGGCAAGGATTGGAAAAGCAAGGACAACATTCCTACCATTGAACAACATATGGAACTCAAAACAACTGTCAACCAATATCAAAGTCACAACATCAAGGCAGTCCTACTGCAAGGAGTTTAAACTTCGAGAACTACTACACCCATCGTCAAAAAGATACAAGTATTTATAATTAATTGTCTACGCAATATACTGAATTTCCGCTGACCGGATACCATCACGAACAGCCTACTATGGGATATGACAAACCAACTTCGAGCTGAATAAGAAATCATGAAAAGACGTTGAGAGTGGATAGAACATACATTGATGATATCACCAAACTGTACCACGAAGCAAACCCTAACTTGGAATCGCGAAGGTATAGGGAAAAGTAGAAGGCCGAAGAACACACTGTATGAGAACTGTAGCATACCTGAAAAGGATAAATAGGAACTGGAAAGGATTGCCTAGAACAGGTTTGTATAGAGAATGCTGATGGGTGGCCTGTGCTCCTTCACGAGGGATAACATGCTTACGTGAATAAGTAATCTCATGTAACGTTTTGGAAGATTTGCTTCTAAAGGGAAGGGTAAATTCGTGGAATAGGAATGTCCAAGATAATTTTGATATTTAAGATCTAGGGAAAAACAGCCTTGTGACAAACAGTGTTGAATACAATATATTGATAAATCTTGAAATTAAACTATACGACTACCTGGTTGGGATTCGCGAGATGATAGCAACCGATGTTTAGAGACCTTGAATGACATGGCTCAAAATCGTTTGCAAGGACGAAGGTGCAACCACTCTTTGTGTCCTACCAAATTCTGATCTTCTGAATTCTTCATGTATCTATCTTTTTTCTCTTTTCATATTTATTTCACTGTATTATATTCCTTGAATAACATCTTCAAACCCTAACCTTTCACATAATGCTTATACTCTTACTACTTCTACCACTATGGGATTTGAATCGATAACTGCATCTGTGTGTTAATGTGGTATGGCAACTCGAATTGATGTACGTACGTACGTACGAAGTTCTACGTCGTGACTGGCTGACTGATATGTCTACCTCATCCATTTTTGATTTTTCAACTGAATGGTAAATTTTACCTTTTATCATAGTTACTATCGTTACCCTTTTTAATACAAAGAAATGTGACGTACTAACCAAATACCTAGTTTCATTACCTCTTCTACAAGTCAATATTTATTGTACCTTTGACTATTACTACTAGGCAGTCCAAATTACAAAATATGGTATATTGAATGTCCAGTCTTAATTATGATATCTCGAATTCAAGACACAAAATAAATGATTACGTATGTATGTCTTCATATGAAACTGTAACTTTGATTACATCATAAAAACGTGTTGAAAAAATCAGTCTCAATGTTATGGTTTATCATGAATGAATCGTTCATAGTATTGCGGTCTAAGTGACATCATGTATATTTATATTCAAATGTCGTATAGTTTACTGGTCATTAGATTTCTGACCTAGTCTGGCGTTGTGTGTGTGTGTGTGTGTGTGTGAGCAGTTACTTATGATCTAATCATGTCATCGGTATTATTATACTTAGTATCATTCAGATTTGGTGACCTCAATGCATCACTACCATATTGATTAGTATTCGATGTATGGATTTAGTGTGTTTGTTTAAGGATACAATCAGTTTAAGCAAAGTAATCTTACGAAATGTGCTAATTCTAAAACGTGAATATCAAATATTTACGGAATTCTAGCCCATAAGTTGATGGGTGTCCAACTCATCTTATTTTTTTTTAAATTTTTTGTTTACAAAAAATAGATACCAATCGACAATAAGGAGGGCTATCGATAAGATTATTAAGCCTTTTTTTTCCTATTAAGGATTGACCTAATTATAATAGTTATCACGATAATGTTTAGTTGTGCTATCTGAAATGTTTAAGTATATACCTCTAATTGTCATGCTTGTATTTTGACCAATTTTTTTAGGGTGCTTCTTCTCCATTGGTTGTCAAATTTGCCGATACAGAGAAAGAACGTCAAGTACGCAAACAGCATCAGCAGAGCACAACAAACGGTTCTTGTTCTCCGGCGTCAGGACATTCTACCACGACAGGGATGACTAATGGTCACTTAGATGGATCTCATACATCAATGCAACAATACAATCAACAACAATCTCTTCGAAATCCACTTGCGAATATCACAGAGGCATCTAATATGGCGGTGGCAGCGGCCGCTGCAGCAGCCGCGGCTAACGCATTTCAACAATCACTTGTTGCATCTAATGTCCCGCCAGGGTATTTACAATTCCCAGTAAGCCATATATCTTTTATAAATAGCATTGTTACTTTTACAGCTAGATCAAATAAAAAATTTTAAAAAAATATATCGGCTTTTAAAGATGTGAATGAACTTGAAAATAAAAGTTGTACCGTTCAACTTCCGGGCGAAATTCCACCCAATCGTTACAGAGGCTGGATTTATGCTTATATGTGTTCTAGGAGTACATGAGTCCGATCTTTATATTTTAGGTCTGAATGTAATGTATAATTGTTTAACTGGGATTTAATACTAACAGGGGTGGAGACCATCTTGCCCTGCCAAAACGACATCTGTTTGTTTATGTGCTATGGGATGCATAGATCGATTGAATTTATGTTCCAGATGTTCATACAGTGTATACTTATCGAAAAAGACCGGTTTTTTATCTGACTTTTAGGTCTAAATATCGTGAGTTCCAATCCCTGGTGGGATGAGTGGCGATGAAATGATGACACTATTGAAGTATTCTTTAGTGTTATGAAACAGCTGACTTCCTGGCCGAATAGTTACTTAGGCTTGTTAATTTGCAATTCATCATAATTTTTGCAATAATTACTAATGAAACTGATATAATCACTCACCAACTGCAAGCATATGTAGTCATCTTTCACACTTGTATCAGATTCTCCAGTCAAAACTGAAACTTATTTTGATCCTACAAAATTGCTACATGAAAACCGACTATCAACAAACCATCACTGTACAGTTGGTATGTGATCTATGCAATGAATATAATGATTTTGTTTGAATTTCATTAGAAAGTCAAATAATTTAGTTTCATAGTTATTTATTTTAAACACATAAACATTGATACATTGGGGCAGTGGAATATGTATGCGCCACATAAACTTTTCGTTTTGTATGACGTCTGGAATACTGCTCAGGTGCCCAAACTAAGTGAAATGGTTTTCTTGGGGAGCCATCCTCCAAACTTTTGACCTAAAGGTCTAATCCACAAGGCAGTGGAGCAACGTTGGGTCGTGCAGTCCCATGGTAGGTTGGTCAAGAAGGGGTTCTTACACCATTTGTTCCCTCAAGTTGCTAGAGCCGTTGTGCACCATTGGTTTGGAGTCAGGGTTTTCCATCTCCTCTAGATGAGTCCTCCATACCCACGAACCAGGATAGAGCATTGTACATTGGCTTTTTATCCTCAACTTGATAAACAACATCCGTGCCTCGAGAAGGCAAGGATTAGGACTTCCGACAGTAGGTGTATACGCGTGGTGACGTGAGAACATTTCGAGAGTGTGTGTGAGGGAGAGTGGACTCTCCATCTTCAGCTGCACTACGAATTCTGAAGGCAGTAGAGGTAACTTACATAATAAAGATGTTTTATGTTCTATGTTAAAGTTCGTTTGAACTATATTTGCATCGATATATTGTTTTCGTTTATGCAGCCCGGTTTATTTCCTACCGCTTCATCAAATGCTAGCCCTGTTCCTAATGGTTTCCAAAGTTCAGTCACTCAATTTACTCAACAGCAACAACAACAACAGAGTCAAGTAGCTCAACAAGGATCAGCTTCGGCTTATTTTAATCCTATGGCAGCTTTTATGGCGGCTGCAGCTGCAATGCAATATGCCAATCCACAATTATCAACTGGTATAACAGAAAATCAATCAAGTCGTTCAACATCTATTCCACTACAATTGAATACGATTGTTAGTCATCCTACAATGGGTGTTGCTCATCAGCATAATCCACTTACAGGAACTAGTCATTCGGTACAGAACGCTTCAGCGTTAGCATCATTGGCTGCCGGTTGTCCAGCCACTACTTTACAAAATAATACACTTCCTCAATGTAAGTTGTTTGTGGTTTTTTTCCATTTCAAAAAGGATGTATAACACTTTTGTGTAGCAACCAATTTAATGTGTTTTCACACTTGGCTTTGTTCTTCATTGTTAAATAAATAAATCCTATTCTTTTTTTGTTTTCTTTCAAAAAGTAGCTTCATTGTTCCCTTTGACAGATGTTGCTCTATTATCTCCAGCCGCTTTAGCTGCTCTTACTCAAGTTGGCGCGGGTGCAGTTACTGGAGGTTTATTAACTGAGGCTGGAGTGTCCGGTAATAACGAGTTTAACAATGCATTTGGTACTGGTTTATTAGTTTCTGCCTCACCATCCACAATATCACCGTCAAGTTTCGCCAGCATAGGTAATGGTACTAGCCAAGGTCAGCAATCAGTTTCTATCTCTTCATCAACTGGTAGTGTTTTACCAAATGTTTCTCTTGGTGCAACTGCTAATATCTTGGTCTCATCTCCAGGAATGGTTACTCCGGTTGCTTCTACACCTCCTACCGTTAGTCCAGCTATTTTACCATCACCAATAACAAATGAGCCTGTAGGTTTGTATGCAGCCGCTGTCGCTTTACAAAATCCAACTGCAGTAGGCCATACAAATCCTAACGCATTGCAATTTCCTCAACTACATCCATCGTTTGCAGCTGCTGCTGCTGCCGCCGCCGCTGCTCAATCAATGACACCATCTCCAATGAACACTGCACTAAATTCGTACTTGACGGAAAATGCAGCTCTACAAGCGGCTGCGTTAGCTGCCGCTGCAGCCGGTTAGTTTCTATGCTCTTTTACTTTTATTGGTCCCATGCTTTATGAATACCATTACTACAGTTATTGTATAGATACGATTGTTTGTAATTTAGTCATTAATACTTAAGCTATTATTATTATTATTGCTAAGTTGGCTGGATATTGGTTCGAAGTCATTTCCTTTACTGTGGTTACTGCTTGGTTGCAAAACATTTGTGTGATCACAGATTTGACTCTTGCGAATTCGTATTTCTTCTTCTGCATGAATTGTGCTTACTCTTTTCTTGTTTTATTGTTATGAATAGAAGAGTTTTAAGGATTGATGAAGTAATTTCTCTATCGTTAAAATCATCGAATGGAATGTCAATCGATAGACGATAAGCAATAACATGATATGACCGGTTGATAGCTGTTCACGAAACCCTATGTATTGACTTGTGCTTCTCGACTGATTTAAAATCAAAGACAAAGCTATTAGGCATGATGAGATTGCATACTTACATACCAAAACATAAACACAAAATAAACATGATGTCAGTAGGCGATCGAAGGAGCTGTCGTTACATTTAGGCAATCATTGAGAAACACATGGAGTTCGATACCTAGTTAACGACAATGTTTTTTTTACGTATTTTAAACTTTTAATCATTGGGTCTTACAGATTCATATTATTTTAACCTTTTTATATGGAATTCTTTATGGTTTAAAGGGGGTGTGTGCAAGCATAAGAACCTGCTCCGTCTTTGTTACTAAGTGTTACGTGAACATGAGAATGTGGTATTTGATTGTTTTTGACTTTATTGATATGTGTTTTGTTTTTGCATTGTTACAGCGTCTGGTCAGTCGTTTACAAATGATCCTATCGTACATCAACTCTATGCTGGTCTTCAAGCATATGGGTTAGGTTAGTTTATAACCAATTTCTTGCTAATTAAATGTAGATGTCATTTTATGATTTTTTAAAATGATTCGAGTACGTTAAGCATATCCTGTTTTTTTAAACTGATGTTTTCCTAATGTTTTTAATGCTGATTGAGTCAATTGAAGCTAGACCACCGTTGTTCGAACCCAGGACCTACCAGTTTCGCGCTAGAGGCGGGATCGTGGATGCGCACTTCCGAGGAGTTCCACAATATTACGAAACGGCCGTCCAGTGCTTCCAAGTTTTCCACGGTGGTCTGGCTTCAATTGACTCATGGTCTTAACTATATAAAATGACTAAAATCTCCACAAAACCCCCTTGCGATTCCATTAGTTGATTTGCATCATTTTCCTGAAGTATCAATTAGCGGAATCTTAAGTTAAATTATGTTTCCCGGTTATTACATCTAATTATCTGATATCGGAATGTTGTAACTTAGTTGATAGAATTCTATCACTACTGAAAATGACTTGACAAACATATTGATTACTGGTCAGTGATCGGTGAAGTTAGGTGAATTGGATTCGAATGTATTAGGGTAGCATCATTTCCATCAAGATTTGGTGGAGTGTTAACTAGAATCAAATCTATGTCTCAGGATTTCCTGTTTATTTTCTCCAACCACCCTACATGGATAAAAATATTTTGTACTGTTTAAGCTACTTGATGGAAGTGTACACATATTCACAGATATTCACTGGTAAGGCATAGTGCATTTGGTAAATATGGCAAATGTATTGATGAGGTAGGGAATCTTTATCAAATGAGGTGGTTGGAACATGCGTCACGCATTCTCAACCACCGCCTACGTCGATGGGCAATGTCTAGTGTAAGAGTAGGTTAAGCGAAAGCTGAAAGTGACCAAACTAAAACCCAACATCAGTCCATGAAGTCATTGACAATTTAATTTAAGCCTTGTAAATGGTTTGGATCCTCGTGATTGTCGTAACCAATGGTTAGATATTGAGTACAGTGGCTCAGAATCATTCTCAATTCCATACTCTCATTCACCCTTTGAATCATCATTAAAAAAGATCTCTCTGTTTTGTGACGATGCTTTGTACAATGTGTTCACTTAAGAAACAATAATAGATCTCGGTTCCCAGTGTAGAAATCAAATATGAGTTTACTACCAGTTGATTAGGCAAAACACATTACCAGAATCCCACTGATGTAGCCGTTGTTGCTAAAATTCTTATAAAAATCATATGATTGCTAATGAAAAGATTTGTGGTGATACTTAACTGTCCAGTCCTCCCAAGTTATATAACTCTGATGGATTACATAATCAACTCTATATATGTGTAACTATTATACTAAATTTGATCAATGTCTTCAGTGCTCTTCTTTTTTCGTCCAACCTTTCAGCTTATCCTACTGGAGGTGGCGCATATACCACTTTTCCTAGTTTACATCATCAAGCTTTATCAATGCCTGTTCAACAGAAAGAAGGTACCAGAGAACTGATATTAACAGGTAAATTTATAGGTATTATGAAATTGGAAACGTGTAATGAAATCGGTTTTTTTCTTATTACTACTCAATTGATTGAATTCACATAAAGTTTATAAGATTAATATTTTGAGAGGAACATGTTTTAATTGTAGGACTTCTTCTGAACTGATTGATCACCGTAACACTATTTAATTCGCTCAGCTTCTAAACATTCTGGAAGAGATTATGATTATATTTACTTACTCGTAATCTTGCCAAAGATTAATGTCCTTGAGATCAGAGTTATTGATGGTTGAGCTGAGTGTTGTAGGTAAGCGTATACTACCAGGTTGTAATCTTCACGATGATTATAAACAGTGTTTAGAGGCGTTAAGTAATATACTTCAGAATCGGTTATAATGGCGCCGACGTATTCACTTTCTGTCTTCATCTAGATCTGTATCTTTGAAATTACCTCATAATTATTCTGTTTATTTATTCTTCACTGGAATAGTTTATTGTCTAGATGATGTTCAGTTTTTCATCTTTCGTCCTTCGGTTTGAATAGGATTGACTGAAGAGATTTTTCTGATTTGTGTGCTACACCTACTCCAAACGGCTTCAGCACTCACGTAATTCCTGATGTCATTTACATATGGTTGGATGGTCTGTTTTTTGGTTTCCGTACCTGATTTCGTTTCTGCTGATGTGTTGGGTTGATATTTTTCGATGAAGTTGTGTGGGTAGCCATTCTTTTCAAGGATAGTCCCTGGATATTTTTTGTAATTTTTCCGCGCTGCAAGCGTGACGGAGTGTGTTCTTATCCTGCATTATGAAAATCACATCATAAATATGAAAGTGTTTTTAGAACATGATTATTATTTCAGTAAGAGGGTTCCCTGAATTGTTACGTAACCACGGAATTTTATGTGAATTCTTTATGCTGTGAAGTTATTTCTTGGCGTTACCTGTATAGAGTATCAGTTCCCTCAAGATTTTTGGTACTCGATACTATTTTTGAATGCCAACTGGTATGATGCCTCGATCCAGGAGTTACTTCCATCTTCTTTCAAATGTCTAATATGTTAAGGTCATTTAACTAAGAATCAAGATTTGTTGTCTTATTTATATTTTTCCTTATAGGTCCTGAAGGATGTAATCTGTTCATTTATCATTTACCACAAGAATTCGGTGATAATGAATTAGCTCAAATGTTTATGCCATTCGGTACAGTGATCAGCGCTAAAGTTTATGTTGATCGAGCTACTAATCAAAGCAAGTGTTTCGGTAAGTTCTTAGCCATCTAGCACTAGCCAGAGTTTCCTATGTGTGTACGCATTTTGTCTAGTCAATCTGTTTATCTGTTAGGGATTTTATTTGAAGAATAACTCTGTGACTGCCGAGGTCTTAAGTTTTTTGTCAAAAAAATACAGCTTCCAAAATTCGTAGAAACTAAGTAATGTTAACTGAATATTAGTTTTTGTCATTACCAATTTTTGGATACAACATGATTTCACGTCCTGGTAGTTGTCAGTAGCAATGACATTTTCAATTCTGTTGTTGTCTCCAGAATTTGAGTTGTTTACTAACTCATGTCATAAAATCGTTATCTTTTGCGTGTTTCATCCAATAATGACTGTATGAACACAAGATGTTAACAGGATACATTTCGTTACATAATTGTGTAATAGTCTGTTTGAAAATATGGTTCGTCTGTCAAATACTTCGTTTTGAGGCAAATTTTATGTTTGGCTGCACCTATCGAAGTAAGAAGGGCGAGACTCCATTCTCAGTTTATTTTTAAGGTATCTGAAAACAAAACTGAAGTAGTAACGGCCTTGGTGACCTGGAAGCATGATAACTGACCTTTCTAGTGTGTTAGAGGACCTAAAGGAAGAAGTGGTCAAGTGAACGTAGTTGGATTTAGTTATCATAATCTGCAACCTCGACCATCGCGTCAGAAGTATGGCAGCTACAGCTGAGAATTGGGCACTTTGTTAGTGGAAGATTTGGGTGCTAACCAATCAGTAAACAACAACAAAGAACCTGGTACGCATGTACATTGGTTCCGGTTGTCATATCCCGTTAGCACAAAGAGATGAAATTTTCATGCCAAATCACAGAATAGTTGAGGTAGTAACAGTATGAGGTTGGATATGGAAGATACGAATCTAAAAGAAAATATAAATTAGTGAAATAAGAAAGTGGAGAATTCAGATACTTAGAATTTGGAGGAATACATACACCTCCACCACTGAAGACATTGTGACTGACTGACTGAAGACGATTTTGAACAATGTCATTCAAAGTCTCTAACCATTGATTATGATAATCACTTGGAGTCCAACCAAGTCGTCTGCACCGATCAATATGGGTAATTCCGACTGTCATTGACTTAATGAACTGATTAGTTTGACTTCCCGTGGTTTTCTTTCAGCCTACTGTTGTATCAAATAGCATTTTCTGTCGAGGTAGGTGGTGGTTGAGCATCCGTGACACATGTCCAAACCATCTGACTTGATGAAGATTCACTACCACATCAATCGATTTGCCATTCTTAGTTAGTATTGTATTCCTAACCTGAACATTGTATGCTCGGTATTCCGAAAATAAACTTGGTTCACAATGTATGCATTTATCTTGGAATACACTCTATAAACGCAATGATTTTATGTAATTATACCTTACATCAGCCAGTTACAACGTAAAACTTCGTACGTACGTACATCATTTTGAGTTGCCATACCACATTAGCACAGAGATGCAGTTGTCGGTTCAAATCCCACAGTGGTAGAAGCAGTAAGAGTATAAGCAGTAATCGGAAAGATTAGGGTTTGAAGATGTTATTGAAGGAGTATAATCCAGGAAAATAAACTTGAAAAGAGAAATAAGAAAGGGATATGAAGAATTCAGAAGATTAGAATTTGGCAGAATACAAAGAGTGGATGCACCTTCACCATTGATAAATGCACTGAAACTTACATTATCATTTTCGGTTAATTCATTCATTTATTTTTAAATTTAGGTTTTGTCAGTTTTGATAATCATACAAGTGCTCAAAATGCAATTCAAGCAATGAATGGTTTTCAAATTGGTATGAAACGATTGAAAGTACAGTTGAAGCGTCCTAAAGGTTAGTTAGTTAAAGCTTTGTGAACAGTTCTTACTTCACATAATTCCATCTTAGTAGGGTCGAAAGAAAGTATTAGAGATAATGCAGTTCTCATTAATCAATTTCCTTTCATGTTTATGTAATTAGTTTATCTGTTCAATAAACCAAAGTCTTATCAATAGGAGTATAGCAACTGTAAATTGGCACTGCTATCTCAATCTGACTTACAAAGCATTTTATGTTACTTACGTCTAGTCATATTGCCTTTCAATAGTAAATTTCATCATTGTAACTTTTTTTTTATAAAAAAAATGTTGACATTTATTCCGAAATCCCATTGTTCTTCATTTATATACTAACATGTATACATTGTTAGGCGGTAACACTTCATCAACATCATCGTCAAATACAAAATCTTCTCGTGATACTACTACTACTACTACGCATAATGGACAAAGACAAGATGCTGATTTATCACTTCCTTCACAGGACTCTATATATTCTGAGGTAAATAATACAACAAACATAGACGCACATACTATTCACTCTGAACAGCTGATCGTTAATTAATGTTGATCTGATCTTGTTATCAGCTGAAACTTGATTGTACATGTGCGTGTGTGTGTGCAACTATTAATTGTATTCTTTTATGTCGATATATGTGTTGTTGTCGTCAAGTTGATCAGAATATCGTGTCAGTGTATATATCTGTCTATTTATCTATCCCTATCTATCTTATATATCTAAGTATATGTCTATCTGTCAATCTGTATTTCCATCTAATTTATTTATATTTATCATTGTCAAGTCAATTAATTAATTAATTAATTATGAAATTGTTCCTCATTCCTAGTTGTTTGATACATCGTCACCATCATCATCATCATCATGATTGTTTATTTGCTAATTTTGTTTATCATGTTTATTGATATTTAATGAACTTGGGTTACCTTTGTTCTTGTTGTTGCTGTGGTGGTGGTCGTGGCGGTTGACATCACCATAGCAACAAAGTGGTTACAATTTATCTCAAGTACATCTAACAAGTATTTATTTTCAATATAACAAAGATGATAGTAACAAATGAATAAGTAGGATAGAATAGTTATAGTAAACACATTTTAATATTCTGTCAAGAACTAAAATCTCAACGGACATGTAAATTCTAACTGGGAATGTAATTAGATTTTCCTTATTACTGTTTGTTATTCTTATGCAATACTTCCAAATTTTTGTAAGATTTTTACGCCTGTTACTCCTCGTGAAGGAGTATAGGCCACCCACCAGTATGCTTCATTCAACCCTTTTTTGGGCAGTCTTTTCCAGTTCTCTCCAGTTGTTATTCATCATTTTCATATCTATTTCAATATCCCGGCGTAATGTGTTCCTTAGTCCTCCCCTTTTCCGCTTCCCTTCTGGATTCCAACTTAGGGCTTGTTTTGTGATGCAGTTTGTTGATTTCCTTAGTGTATGTCCTATCCACTTTCAATGTAGTTTCCTCTTCAGATGTAAGCTGGTTTGTCCTCTCCCACAGTAGACTGTTACTGATGGTATCCGGCCAGTGAATGTTTAGTATCTTGCGTAGACAATTGTTTATAAATACTTGTACATTCTTGACGATGGATGTAATATTTCTCCACGTTTCAACGCCGTACAGTAGGACTGCCTTGACGTTCGTATTGAAAGAAAGGTTCTGGAAAAGAGATTTTTGGGTTTTGTCTTGTTTATCCTTCAACAGCTTGATTGAGTCAGAGCAATTAGTTAATAGGTGTTACTAGTCATAATCTGAACGATATTTTTAAGTCAAATGGACATAAACCTTAGTACTTAGGTATCAAAATTATATTAAATATTATTGTAATTATTGTCCCATTTATTATGCATTTTTATCACAAGTGGATTACTCAATCAGTCAGTCAGTTACAACGTAGGACCAGACACATTTATGATACCTCGTTAGCATAAGATGAACACCAGATTCATAGAAGTAGTTAATTTAGTGGTGGTAACATATAAAAGAAAGGTTGTATATAAGGATATAGTATCGGAAGTGGATTACTGCAGTGATGTCATAATAGTTTGTTCTCTTTGGATGATGTAGTCACTGTGCAATATGAACTTGGTGTCAATATCTCTCAACTGCTCTTCATAAATTAGCTGTATTCAAAAAATTGATTCAAATACTTGATGTTCGCCCATTGTTTTGTCAATTTTGTCATGTGAAAAGCATTTACGGAAAAAGCTATAAACGTTTAGAGGTCTCCTTCTTTATGATTATTGTCACATTTGTAAATACTAAATGAATAAATTTGTGTTACATTTTCTTTTCATCTTTTCCCCCCTTACCCCATTATTATTGAAGATTCTTGTGCTCTAGAGGGTCTTGTGTTTAAAAGGTTAAGTTTCAGAAAATAAATCAAATAATTAGCACAATTTCACATTATATCTTATTTGTTGTAATCACTGGAAATGATAAACTTTTCACACAAAAAAGAGTTATCGTTGTCTGTCCGACAGTGTCAATGTTTAGTAATTACGTCAAAACATTAATATCAAGTCGGTAATGCGTAGTATATATATATATATATATATATATATATATATATATATATATATATATGTTTATTTGTGTGCATCAGCAACTTATTTTTTTCTGGTTAGTGTTTTTTTAGCGAGTTGATTTTCTACGGAATGGGGTCGCTAACTCCATGCCCAACCCTCCTCCTTTACCAGGGCTCGGGACCGACAGTGACCCCCGGAGGAGCTACAGGCAAAGTATCCAATGCAAATCACTCACGGAAACATTCTGTTGATGATTTCGACTTCACCTGTCTTGTTATTGTTCGTAGTCAAATTTTTTTATTGGATTACCGGTTCATGAAAAACAGTCATGGGATCTTCCGTTTTGTGTGTTTGCTTTATATGAACTGTTCTTGTCTAACATCATTTTGCCTCAAAATATATTCCTTATGTCATACATATTTATCTATCTATCTATCTGTTTTCTCGACGGAATACAAATAATGTTAATGTATAATGGTAGTTATTATGATAAGATCCTAAATTTCCTCCCTCTCAATTGCTTTGAAAGATTGACATGATAATGTAGCTTTAATTGGTGGCAAGGAGATTTTGGGTTGATATATGTTTCAGAACCAAACATGATGGCTCAATTCTGTCTGTTTTAGTGTACAAATAACGCTATTGGAAGTCGTGACATGTAATGTAGATAGATGGTTTATGCTCTGTTCGTAAAATCACTATCACTACCTACTAAGTGTTTCTTTATCATATTTATATAGAAAGAATTTCATACTGATGAGTAGCCATTACAACTTTTCACCACCATCAGACGAAATCGGTCAGTGATTACCCTTCCGTTGAAAAGTTGACTAAAAATTTTCCTGTTCAAGTTTCTGATAACAGTATAGAAAATAAGGTTGATGGTATTGTCCAGAAGCTAGTTTGCGTCACATTTTAATATTAACTGAGAGAGGTAGAGAATTCTTAAAAAATTTAGAGATCAGTAGATGAAAGCTAACTGTGTGGAACTCTCAACAGTACATACTTATATTCTTGGCAGAAATTGAACCTTATCAGCGAGCATGTTTTCTTTTTCTCATTAATCTAAAATCCTGTAACTTCCACACTAGAATAAAACAGCTATTCTTACTTACTTACGTCTGTTACTCCCAATGGAGCATAGGTCGCCCAACAGCATTCTCCAACCCACTCTGTCCTGGGCCTTCCTCTCTAGTTTTATCAAATTTTTTGTTCATTCTTCTCATGTCTGTGTCTGTTTCTCAACGTATTGTATTCCTTGGTCTTCCTCTTCTTCTTTGGTCTTGAGGATTCCATTTGAGGGCTTGTCTTGTGACACAGCCGTTCAGTACTCCCTAATTCATATTATAACCTCGATCAAATTGTTGAGGTAAATGACATAACTCAGAATCGATCACATTGTCACAAATTTCTTCACTCTATTTATCTTTTCTCTAGTAGTTAAATAGTTAAGTCTGACTACCATGTTTCCTTTTTTGCTTCCTCTTATTCTCCAATCTTTTTCAGCATTACTGTTAGCGAAATGATCCAGCTAATTTCGATATGTTGCTCTCCAAGTTGATTATATATTAGCTAAGATAAATATCCTGTCATGTTTATTGATTTTTGATAAAGCGAAAAAAAATACACCACAAAAAAACACACATAAAGTCTGGACACACCCCTCTTTTATTGTTCATATACATATTAAGCTTGATTTATTGTAACTATGCCTAGTTCCTGTTTCACTTTAAATAATTATGATTATTGTGTTTATCGTTCAATCACATTTCATTATAAGACAATATCAATTGAGGACTAATCTTGTTCATCATGTGAACAACTGACAACGAAAATGTGACATCCACTTCTTTTTAGCTTCCTGTATATAGATATAAACATGTTTGATCACGTTTTTTTTTTGTTCCACTGGTTACTACTATAACCAATACTGTTTTAAATGTTGCATGTGTCTACTCTCTGTCTAAACTCTTTACTCTATTTTGTTTGCATGTCTTTACATATCATTAAAAAACAATACATTTGATAATGACGCTCTACGTCTGTTCTCTATTGGTGTGATGGTGATAATACATTTTTGCTACTGCTGTGAACAATGAATACAATTATTGTGTTTCTATCCGATATAAAGCTTATACAAATTGTTTGTTATATGATAAGTGTAATCTTTTACAATCATAATACTACAACAATGGTATTTTGTATTCATGGTATATCTTTGTTTTCTGTGTTCTTTTTTTTTGTAGATAGTCGTAAACCCTACTGATGAAACAGTCTCAGTCGCTCCGGTACTTGCTTTATGAGGTGTATGCAATCGTTTGTTCCTCCCTAATTTTTCTCTCTCTTTCTCTATTCCTGAAAAATAAACTCAACCATTACCACACAACACAGGTTAACTACATTTTTGTTATCATACTCTCTTCATCTACTGGCTTCCATCTTGAATTTTATGATGGTAATTACGTGTGTCCATCCATCTAAGTTATGCTTTTATTCTCTGCATATGCTCAAATTTCTCCTCGTAAATTATTTTTGCTAACTTTTGGAGTGCATACATTTGTCTCTCTCTCACTCTTTCTGCCTCGCTCCGTTATTCTTTAACATTATTCTTTACCATGAAATCTACTATATGGTCTATTTTTGTTATTACTATGGGCGGTCAGTTTGAACAAATATGTTGATCTAGATTCTTCTTGATTTTTTAGTTTTCTGAAAAAAGAATGAAACTGAATTTTCTCCGTTTTCCTTTGCTTAGATGTTGTACTGTCTGTGCGTCTCCTCATTCAGTTTGATGAGTCGCTGCAATACACTAAAATAAACAGAAACAAAAAGACAAACACAGAATGTAATTGCAGCGAAATAAGAGCACTCTTCATTCGCAGCATCCATTTCAATGGGTCTTCTTTATCCATTATTTATTGGCCATGAACGAAAAAAGACGGAGAAAATTGCATTACGATACTTGGTATTCACCATTACTATTCCTTCATTACAATGACTGTTAATCTATTGTTTTCTTTATTTCATGCAGCCTCAGTGTTGTTTTTGTAGTTGTTGACGTCCTATGAGTAGGTGCTTTTTCCTCTTTCTTGTTTTCCTCCATCTTCCACGTTTTTTTCGTTCTTTCCGTTTCTGAATATATATATGATTGGCAGTTTGTTTGGCTCTTATTCTTTCTCTTTAGTTCACTCTGTCATTTATGCATTATCTGCAAGATTCATTATTTCTCTTTCTACTTCGATTTTCACTGCAACACAATAGATAGGGAGACACACGTATATTGCATATTTTTTTACATGATGAATGGAATCCTTCTTCAAATTTTGCTTAATGATCTTTGTTGTTGTAAATGACCTATTGTTGTCATGACTACTGTTGTAGAGTTTTGTCACTTTTGTGCACTATTGAGTACTTTTTGTTTTTCCATACGGCATATCGTTTCATTATGATTGAATATTTTTCAAGGAAGAAAAAAAAAGTTGAAACATTCCGCTTACTTTTTTTTCCGGCGATCTGGTTCTCTCTATCGATTTATGCTGCATTCGTTTATTTGTCCTCGTCTTCATCATGAGTTCCATTTTGCATTTTTTTTTTGACATTTTTCATACATTGTTGCTAAGGTGTATGGTCTCTGACATATTCATTACATAACAATAGCACTTCTATTTCGTACGGTGCGTTTATAATTTATACATTTTGGTTACTAACCCACCCATCCATTCGTCATATAAACTACTTAAATGATCTATTTTAATGAATAAATAGTAAGTTGATTATCATTAGTATCTATGCAAAAATTAAAAAAAAACTCAACAAATGAATAAACTAGATTGTTTTTGACGATTTTTCCTTTTTTTTTTGTTTGATGACCAGTTATTTACCTCTGTTATATATATATGAACATATGCATTATTCTTTCAACATATTTTTCAAAATATGATTTTCATCCACTTGTCCTTCCTACATATACATTCCTTAGTTTGGTTATAGAGAAAGAGAGATAGAACACATTTTATGAGATGATGTTTTGATCACACTCATTCATGTTAAACGCTTTTCCATCATATCGATCACGATGGTGACGATAATAATAAAGATAAGGGTGAAATAAAAGAGGAGCGAAAGAAAGATATTTGCAGTCTCAATTTCTGATGTTGGTGGTGGTGGTAATGATGATGATAGTGTTTGTTATTGTCGGTAAAACCCATAGACATATTTCTCTTATTTTTCTATACCATTATATTACTTCTGATAAGCATATTGTTGTTGTTTTCCTTCTTTCATTCACTCGCGCGCTCTCTCTCTCTCTCTCTCTCCATGTTTTACTATCCACATACCCTCATTCTCTTATCCACATGGTTACATGATCCATGCACAGAGAAGAGCTTAGAGAAAACTTTTAATTTCACTCCTCGAAGAATGTAGACGGGACATTATTATTATATACAGCGTAATGCAACAAACACACAAATGGGATGCTTCAGAGGAATTAAGCTAAACGAATGCATTTAAATGTATTTTTGTGCTGTAATTTACTAAGTTTTTGTTTTGTTGTTTGATTATGCTGATGAGACTGTGTGATTTACATCGATACCTCTTTTACTTCTCTTTTCTTCTGATGAATATATATCATACGATTGTGCTGTTTTCATGTATGCGTATGGAATAGTCGGATATACACTGGACAGTAATGTGCTACTGGTTAATAATGATATTAGATTCATCGGTTTCTTTTTCATAGATATATCTTCATAAACCGTCTACTTAACCCCGAAAATTGATAAATGAATGAATAAATGGGCGTGTATACACTATGATATATACAGAAATGAGACTGGTTTTTTTTACACAAACACACATATATACACAGTGTTTTATTTCATTCTCAGTTTTCTTTATTACGAAAAAAAGGTACACCACTATTGTCTCCGTCTGTTCTTTCCCCCCTCTTAGGCGTTTTTTTTTAAAAAAAAACACATATTAGCCAATCTTTCTTTCCATCTTTGATTCTATCAATTTTTACTACCATAATGAATATATATGTAGTTTATAATGTGTTATATATGCCTCTCATTTATACAATTTCTATGATTCCTATGTTGAACAACACTTTACACATCTATACACACATGGATACAATTTTTCAAACAATCACTTACAAGCAAACTGTACGTGATAATGTTAATTATATAATACTAACAACAATACTATGACTATTAATAATAATAATAATAATGATAATACTAAAAAGAATTCTTTACAATGAATGTGTTCTTTTCCTTCTCTCTGTGGATGGTATTGTCGAGGTATATGACTACAGATGGAATAGTGTTTATATAGGTATGTATATATATATATAGTTATAAGGTGGGAGGAAAGTTACCGTTTTTTTAGATTTATTAACAATAGTTAGGAATATTGACTTATTGATTCGAACAGTTGATTTTCAATTTTTTAAAAAAACGTTCCGGATTCAAACTCTTACTACTTTTATCACTATGGGATTTGAATGGATAACTGAATCTTTGTGCTAATGTGTTATGGTATCTCGAGCTGATGTACGTACGTACATACGAAGTTCTACGTTGTGACTGACTGACTGACTCTGGATTCAAACTTTTCTGCTCTGTCTACTTTGATAGAATTCGGTTCTAAGTTCAATGAGTGTTGTGGCTTAAATTTAAGAATGTAAGGTCAGTACTTTGTAAAGGATTTGCAGTAATGTAAATGAACTTCGAATGATCGAACCATGTTCAGTAAATTCGATACTAAAGTGAGGTTATAACAAGTAAATACCAGTAAAAGTTTTTGATGGTGGCCACTAGAAAGTATTTGCCAAACTCACGTATATGTTGACCATAATATTGTGCATCTAGTTAGGCGGTTAGACCTAAAATCCTTGAATATATGGTTTTTTTTTAGAAAAACGGCTGCACTAAGCAGATGATTTCAGTTTTAATCGACTGTGCTATCATAAGCTACAGTGGAATTTATAGACATACTTAACTATCGTTATAGCCATATTCTCTACCCTGATTAGTCTGTGAATATATTGTCAGAGGTGTTAGTATTTTGGGATTAGATAGTTGAACAATCGTATTCATTTATTGAAGGATTCCGACCTTAAGTTGTGCACTCATATGTAGGATTGTTTAGAATTCTTATCTTGGTATTTATTTCCTCACTGGGATATACCCCCGTCCTAAGAATACTACTGAAAATATTTCAGCATCCAGTGCTTGATAAGATTACATCCATGGAAAGATCACACTGAAAGTAGTAGATTTTGTAGGTCGTCTAGATCTAAGGAAAGGATTGAAATGAAATATAATCTACCAAGGTCTCACATATTCTCTAGTAACAGTTTGCTGTTAACACTTAAAGTATCAATATACTGATTGCTTAATGATTTATATCCAAGTTGAAGGGTTGCTGGCTCCATACAAAACAACTCATATGAGCTTCACTAGAATTCGTTGACCTAGTACTACAAATGACTTCATTTAGACCATATTTATTATTAACTGCTCACAAACAATATCTATGTGTATTCACATTGGCAGATGAAGATGAACCGGTACTTGTGACCGGTTAAATGAAACTGATTTTCACGTAAACGATAATTTATCCAACATCTTGTAGAATGTGATCAATTTATGGTGGAGTGGGATATTTTTCCTATCCTACTTTAGAATAGATGTCAATGTCAGAGATTAAAGTTTATTTATTTGTAAACTGATTACAGCGATCAAATTATCAATGTTCTAGAATAAAGAGAGTAATAGTCAACTGAGTCTCAACCACTGGGTTATTTGATTTCTAGTGGTAAAAAATGGGGCGGAGACGTAGAGAACTACAAAAGCCATCATTCAGAAGATACAGGTGTTTATTAACAGTTGTCTAAGCAAGATACTTCTGATCCGTTGGTCAGACACTATCAGCAACAACCTAATCTGTGAGTGAACAAATCAGATTCCAGCGCTGGAAGTGGATCGGACACACATTGAGGAAATCACTCAGCCGCGTCACAACACAAGCACTCAAATGGAACCCTGGGGGCCAAAGGAGAAGAGGAAGACCAAAGAATACATTACGTCGAGAAATGGAAACAGATATGAGAAGAATGAAAAAAAATTGGATAGAACTAGGAAGGAAGGCCCAGGGTTGGAGAATGCTGTTGGGCGTCCTATGCTCCATTGGGAGTAACAGGCGTAATTAAGAAAAAAGAGTGTGATGGAAATTAATGAATGCCATCAATTTTTCACCTTTCAATATGCACTCAAATCTATTTCTTAATAGTATGAATAATTTCGAAAATATGACCAGTTATTATTGTTTTAAGACAGATATAAAAGCCACTAATTTGTCCAGTGATTACCATCTTAGTAACCATGACATCTAATATTTACTTTATTACTAGTATTTTTTCTTTAGCATTAGCGGTAAATTTTTAGGGTGTGTCCATTAATATGGAAGGGAAACAGTGAATGGTTTAAGTGTCATAGAAATATGTGTTCAATGTAATATGTAGGTGCATATTTTCGCCCTGAATATATGGAAATATAGCCTCATGAGAAAAAAATTACCTCTAGGTTTAATCACGTTCGAACTTAAATCTAAACTAGTGATAACGAGATTACTCTTAATAAAAGGATAATCAGAAGGAGTTTTTTGTGGAGATTTTAGTAATACGTCCTGTGCTTGAATCTTGTGAGGCATGATCTTGGATGCACACTGCTGAGTAGTCTCACAATAGGACGAAACAGCCGTCGAGTGCTTCCAGGTTTTCCATGATGGTCTAGCTTCAATTGACTAATGATTTCAACTATCAAAGGATAATCACTTCATAAATTACTGGATATTATATCTATCTTTAAATGACAATAAAATGTGATTAGATCATGTTTGGAATTATTTATATTAGTTGACATTAAGTTTGAGGAGTGCTAAGTGGGGAAGGTGTAGAAAATTGTTCATTAATGAATGGGCAGATTTGATTGCTCAATTTAAACTACGGTTGGTTTTAACTTATTCCTATAAACTAACATCACTAATTGACAAGACAGTAAAGTTATTGATAATGAAATGACTAAAGTCTATCGGTTAAGTGCTCTGGCGCGAGACTGATAGGTCTTGAGTTCGAATCTTGTGAGGCGAGGTCGTGGATGCGCACTGCTGAGGAGTCCCACAATAGGACGAAACGGCCGTCCAGTGCTTCCAGGTTTTCCATGGTGGTCTAGCTTGAATTGACTCACGCTTGCAACTATAAAATGTATTCATTTGCTTTTTCTGTATGAAAAAATAATAATGAAATTCTTTTGGACGATAGTCGCATTGTCATTTATTTGGGTGGATAAAGCAAAATGTAAACTTGTCATCACTTCTGCCTCCGTACAGAATTATCGATACCATATAACGAAACAAAAAGGAAGTTGAATTCTTCACGTTTTGATTTAAGTAATTTGAGGACAATCAGTAGGAGTCATCTTTGGTGTTGTCACTCCTCAAGAAGGTATGATCTATGGTATTGAAGAAACTAGTCCTCTCCGTTGGATTCTATCCAAGTGTAATAATAGAAGAGAAAGAGAGTTCGGATTTCAAACCAAATGAATTCATATGGTATTTCAATTATTTGTCAATATTTGGGGTATGCAAAGCCCATTAAGTGTTGAATCATAGGTCGGAAGAAAGGGAAAAAATGCAATAGAATGAAGATCTCTAGTTCATATTCTCGTCACTTTCATTGAAATCACAATTGATTGACCAAAAGAAGGTAACATCAGTCAACGATAGTTGACTTCGACTAATATACAATCAGGTTCAAACCTAAAAAATGTTGTTTTTCTCATATAGAAAATAGGATAAACCAGTAGTGTAGTGACTCTAGTAATCGACTTTCAGCTATTCTACTCGTTTGAAACAATTAGTCCCTTTTGATAAATTTCGATAGTGTAATAAGAAGACGAAGATTATCAGAACTGTGTAATGATATATTAGCGCAATACATTTCGAATCAATCTGATCCCTGTAAACCTACTCTGGTAATATTAACTTATTATCCAGAGTGATTAGGTGTCAAACTGTTTTCACATTATTATTATCCTTGTCTCCTCTTACCCTCCATTTCCAGTCTAGTTGGCCTTTTGTTTTCATTTGTAAATGTTCTTAACAAGTATATAATGTGTGATCAGACTGTCCAAAATGTATTGCGCTAATGTATCCGATGGTTCTGATAATCTTCGTCTTCTTATTCTATCCATGATTAAAATAATGTTTTGACAACTTCAGTTCTGAGGACCAATGGGGTAGTGTTACTAGTCCTCATAATCAAACATCGTAACTCCAAAAAACCATATAAATTAACACTTGTATTTGGTATGAGTTTTAAGACGGTAAATAACTGTATTGCTTCCAAACAGATGTAACAATACAGTATGGATAGGCACAAAATCATTTATTTTACATAGTTAGTCAGTGACCTGAAAGTTAAGTACACGCCGTTAGACATGAAGATCAAGGGATGGATCCCTGATGAGGTCATGGATACGCACTACCGAATAGCTGTCCAGTACTTCCGTGTTTCCAGTGGTTGCCTGACTAAAAACAAACTGATATAAACTGAAAAATTTACCAATATAAATTCCTACGCTAATAATAATAATATGTACATTGGTGACTGATTTTGAGAGGTAATTCCCCGAGCTCTAATGAGAATCCACAATATTATGAATTGATTGAAAATTAAGCATGTAAAACAATAGTTGATACCTCAATAGTCCGAATGTTAAGTCCAACTCTCAAGACTAGGCTTTGGTCCCTGGCGGGACCGTAAATCATCAATTCTTATGAGTTCCGTACTATTATTGTCCAACTAAGATCAGTTCGCAATGTTTAATAGTCTACAAAGATAATCAGAAATTACAATTAAAACAGAATAACATGAATTCATTCTTAATTTAGTCCGGTTCTCACCTTCATTGGTTAAGAATTGTAGTTTTCCAATATCAAAACAACAAATGGAACTAAAGGTGAAACTTAAATTCACTTATTATTGTTTGTTTAAATCTTTCCACTTATGTTTAGGATTGTAACTGGTCAGTCTCTAATTAGCATATGTGCATCCTATGCATATTGGCCCGATATAACCGTAATTCACAAGCATTGTAAGCAAAGATGGATAGTAGCTAGCAATGCAATTCACAACGCGCGTTTCATCCTATTTGGAACTCGTCAGATGGATGTACCTGCATCACATAGTTGATGTT